AATATTAAATAATAGTTCTATAGCTACTTCATTACAATAAATACTATAACAATTATGAATCATATTTAAATGACTGTTAATTTTGAAATACTGAAATAACATTTATCTATTTGTGGATAATAAATGACTTCTTACACATAATTTGGAATTCTCAAAGACAAAAGAGAATAAATACTAAGTATCTGAGCTTGAATAGAAAAAATTCATATGCCATATGACCGCTAATAAGTCAAGTATGATAATAAATTAAAAGAAACAATCTACAAAGTTAAATATACAGTTTCGAATAAGAAGTACCACGTTAATGGCATTCATAATCAGGTCTCGTGTTGGATGTGTGAATATATGTATTCTCGCTGCTGTTCGCGTGGTCCATTAGGGTTGACCCATCACACAACTGTGAACTTTGGCGAATGTATCAGTGTAAAGTAACTTGCACGTAGCAGCGTTGTTGTCAAACGACATTTCCCCTACCTTTAGTTCTGGATTCACAGCTACCTACACAAGTGCAAAATTAATGTTAATTATTGAATTCTGCATTATGCAATATAACGCCATAAGCTCAATCTATTGAGCGAGCCATATTACAATTCCGATGAGACCATGGCAAGGAATTTAATCTCATTCACACCTTGCATCAAGCAGAAAAACACTTTGATTAATTAGATTACGGAATACACGCTCATATTATAACATAAGCAAAGTTTTTTTGAAAAAAAAAAATTTTTTTTAATTAAATGAATTAATAAATTAGTATTAATCAGCTATTGATAAAATAATAATTTAGTTCTTTTTGAATAATATCGGTATTTGTTGCATATAATTCAAAATTTTAAATTAACTTAATCATAGCCATCTTTCAAATTGAATATTGCAAATTTATTGGACTATTAGTGATTCGATTAATTGAGCAAGCTAAATTAATAACATTTTTATGTATGGTTTAATTTAAAAATGAGAATGGAAATGAAAAATATGTATTAAATAAAAAAAATCAATGCTTCTTATACAAAACCTCGTATATTTTAATACAATATTAGTTTTACATTATCTTATATTATCTTATAAATAAAAAATGTATTTCACGAAATTAATGATTAATAGTGATATGATAATTAATTTTGTAATTTAATATATTTATTGAAATGTTTAAATTATGGTAAAATAATTATATTTTAATAGATTGTAAAATTTATTATATTTTCAATTAATTACTCTATACTCTTATTCTATGAAATTTTTGTATTTAACGAACCTATTAAATATACAAATTATAAAAACTTTGTTAAGAATTTCACTATAGCTTAGAAATATATCTATTTATATTATAATTATATATTTTTACAATAATTAATTATTAAACTCTAATATTAATATATTAAAATAATATGTAAAGTCAACCTTAAAAAATTATTAAACATAGAATATAAAATTTAGACAAAATAAATATATAAAAGATATATTCTTAATATATTACTGTATATACTTGCCTTTAATAAATGTACGTTTAAATATTAATTAAATTTTTCATATCACTAATATTATTTTATATATTTAATAATTGATTTTACTATAATTAATTGTTTTTTATAGTACTTTTTTTAAATTATACATTAAACACCAATTCATTTTTAAATATTATCTTAATATCGTTTCATTATATTAGAAAATTTAATTAATTATGCAATGAGCTCAATATTAAGGAACTAGTCTTTCTAAATAATTACCTTGAATGTATATAATCCTGGATTTAGTTCAGATATGTCGATCCATTGGCAATCAATATTATACTTGTAAATATCGCTGCAATTTACGGATATTCCCTGATCTCCATAACCAGCACATTTATATCTATGAGAAAAGGATATACAAACATTTATAGTGATTATATTAATAGATAATAGTCTATTAGCAATATTATATACATTATATTAATTGATAATTCTCTGTAATACAAAGTTACGAGTATCATAAACCATTCTGTGCGAATTAAAATGCGCAAATATGCATTCGAAAATACCGAATTTTTATACCAGAAATTATACTTAAATTACAATTACTAACCTTGGTTTAATTCCTGGTAAACACTGATTATCTTCTAAACAGAAGGAAGCTTTGTGACCTTCAGCTACTTTTTTTCCACTTGAATCAATGATGTCGAACGTTGCAAATACTTCCATAGAATGATAATGCCTAAGAAAGAGTATCAATTAATGTCTAAATAAAAAATTCAAAAATTAAAATTTTTAAATCATTAGGTATTGTAAATAATTATTATGGTTTTGGTTATCATCGATATGTTTCCCATATTTAGAAGATGCTTTTTTAAATAAAAATATAAGAATAATTTTTAGAAATAAATAGAGTCGTTAAATTTATATTGTGTAAGTATTAAGTAATTGAAGCACTAAAATTTAATAACATTTTTTTTTAATAAAATAATACTTGTAAAAGGAATAATATTAAAAATATTACAAAGTTAATTCATTTAACAGTGTTTCTAATATTTTCATTAATTTTAGCTACTAATAAATAATGTTTAGTTAATTAAATGGAAATATATATCTTTCATATTTTTGAAAAATAAGCAGATGCATTTAATTTTATAGCAACAATTTTAATACTTATTATCAAACATTGTGCAACAAACAATTGTACTAGTGTTTATGTGCACTTATGCCTGACACTCGCATAACAGACAATAAAATAGAAAACGGAAAATCGAAAAAAATGGAAATAAAAAATATTTTATATTGTAGTTGAAAGCAATAACAAAAATAAAGAAAAATAGAAAATAATATACTTTTTTAAAGCATCAATTAACTTTTATTTCTTAACAAGATAAAGGGATAATATCAGTAAAAACGACTTCTCGAATAATGCGACAGGATGCTTTGCCAATGTGTATGTAGGTTGACTTATTGGATGAATACCAACTAAAGTACAGAATTCATAAAGTACCACATCTTATCAATAAAATCGTCAGACATTGTCAATGAAATTACAAGGTCGAATAACCGAGAAAAAAACAAGAATAGGGATGCAATTCCGAGATATTAATGTTCGCCTATCTGAATGATAAATTAACAAATAACACAAAATGTAATGATGGCAAAGTAATGGTAATTATCTACATATAGTAAATTCAAGATATTTTAATCTGAAAAATGTGATCCAAAGTGAAGAAATTTCAGAAATCATTAAATATTGTAAATGTACTATAATACGTAAGAACATATCTCAGCAGAAGTAACGGAGAGAAATATATATTGTCAAATCAAAAACTTTACTAATATACTTGAAATGATGACTACTTAATTAAGATTTATTAAATGTAATATTTTATTGAATGCCCTCCAACAACCTACAACGTCAAATGTTTCTCAATTTACTTTATGAACTCATGACTTTTCACAATTATTTATATTTATATTTAAAATAAATAAATTAATTAAAATCATTTGATAAATTCATAATCGAGTGTCTCCATATTTGATAAAAAAAATACTAGTATAACTTGATTATATTACAATAAGTATGTTTGAATCTCTCATTAATCATTCTCCAATATCATTGTTTTTATTCGAGGTCATTATAAAATATATTGATATTTTACAGAGCGACATCGATATTTATGTATTAACGCCTTAAAACATTACGCAAATAATTAATTTTGTAAAAATGTATGCAGATCATGAATGATTACTTACAGAAGCTAGATTTTTAAAAATTGCGGTATAATATTGAATAAATGCAATGACCTACATGTGACACATGTGCCACTCCCAGAGATGCTTTGGCACGGAGGGTCGAAAGTCCGCGGTGCCGGCGTTTAAGATTCGGGCTGTGAAACGTAACAGTCTGCGGCTTTCCAAGTACCACTGCTGACTCTCTCGCTGCACTTGGTAGGCTTGAGATGACACACAATTTTCCTCCATAGCACATTGCAGCCAAAATAGTTGTCGATCCTCCAGGTGAGCAGTACGTTGAAGTTCTATCGAGTCGAGGACCAGGTCGGCTATGCGGGACGTGCAAGTCACGCCGGCTACGTTTTCTCCGACACCTGTCACAAGATCCAATAATTTGATGACACGTTACTGCGAATTATGATGAATGCTCTTATTATCTGAATAAGTAATGTCCAATGAAAATTGTCATTTTAATTAATCATCATAAAAGTCCGTCTTTATTATTGCTCTGAAATATATTTCAGAGTAAGTTAAGAATAAGCTAATTTATAAGGTTTTCGACAATTATTACTACTACTATTGAAGTTTCAATTCGGGTTGAAAACAAATTTTATCTTTCAATTTCGGTAGTCAAATTTTTTTTAAATACTAATGTTAAAAATTATATTCATAATTACCGATTCGGTAAAATTGAGAGTAACGAATTAATAATAAATATTATTTCAAATAATAGTCAGAAGCCGAATATTTTTACAATCCTACATTCAAATATTATTTACCAGCCTATTACAAAAACTAAAAATATATTAAAAATATAATGGATATTACTGCTAAATTAACCTCTCCAATATCATGGAATCGTGTGTCTAAAAACTATAAATTAAAATTATATTATTATAAAAGATAATACAGTAAACTTACCATTATTGTCATGATTGAATAAGATAATTCATTATAATTGTATACATTTTTTTTTTTAATTTAAATTTATGTACGGGCTTGATAATATTCAGATTTCTCATTTTACTTAAAACGAATAGTTGCAGTATTTCACTACTTTAAAATCCAAATTTAAAAAGATATACTTGACTAACCAGGGCAATCAAGAACGGTGTCATGTACACACTCGGCAATATTTTTCTCATTTCCGTGACATTTAATTCCACTAATGGCCATTGGAAGCCTGTTATCACCGAAGAAATTTGTCTGATAAACTTTGGCGGCATAGCCAAGTCCCAGCTGACGACAAATTACCGATGCTTCCAGAAGAGACCATCCATCACCACACACAACACCCCAATCTAATAAAATGTAAAAAGAAACAACAATACTTAAAAATCATATCAATATTTTACATAATTAACGTATGCAATTCATGAGAGTTTCAAGATACACAGGACAAAGATCTAAAAAAATGTTATCTTCTATAGTTTAGATTAAATAACAAATACTTTAGGTTATCTTAGAGTATGTAAATTTGACTTTGAAGCATAATTCAATAAAATTAAAAGTCTTATTAATAGGGAATATTGCGCCTATGCAAACAAATTTATCCGATTTCTAAGGGTTAATTTTTACAAATATGATATTATTTTTTAAAATTTATTTTAATAATTATTTTGTTTCGAAACGATATAATTTTGAGTATATTTCAAAAAAGGAAATTAATTATTTTATATTTAAATTTGTTTAAGCTTCATCTTAAATATCTCATATTGATGTATTAAATATAACTTAAATATCAATTTAATTCACTTCTTAAAGACTACTAAAGTATCGAATCAAAATCTTCTTTAATGATTAAAGAACATCCAAAATAAAAGGTACGCATAAACTAATATTTTACTTATATAGTGCTTTTGCTTTATGATTTAATATTCCAAAATATATTTTACACATTATTAGAATAGTTCTTGTAATTACTTAAAAAAGACTTCTAAGATACGTAATATTTATTCAAATATATTCATTGTATTGAAATAATTTTAAGGTATAGTAAATTATTGGGAATTTCTTAGAGTTTTAAAAATACATGATAAAATAGAAATAATTGTAACATTTAACTTTCTAGTTATTGTAATGAAACATCCAAAGATAAAAATAAAATATTTCAAATAATTATCCCATATAATTTGATAATAAATCGGATGATTTATGTTAACTATACAAAAAAAAAAAAAAAAAAAAAAAAAAAACAAAGTATAAAACAATTAATTGTTGATATTATAATTGCTTGTGAAGTATAGAAATATATTTAAAGAAAACAACTTATCGCAATGGTTATTAAATGTTTAATTTTTCATTCAACTATTAACAGGATAAATTTAATTATCTACTTTGAATGCATGAACAGAAAATCAATTTTTATTTTAATTATTATTATTATTATTATTATTATTATTATTATTATTATTATTATTATTATTATTATATTATATATGTCAATATAAATGAGTTTCGGCTAGTATTAATCCAATGAAAATTCCATCACGTAAATTCATAAAAGTTAGAAAAAGCTTTGCGTGCAAAATCAAGTATTCGCTATGAAATAAGTTAATTCCAATCTGTATGAGCAGTTACGTAACTATTACATCGAGACTTTCAAATCCATACTGTTCAACAAATGTACGATAAATATTAAAGATATTGCATACCCGAATCTCCAAGTTTGATTTCAATACGCCCTTGGCGAAATCCGGTCAATCGAACAGCAATTCCTTGTTGATGAACGTCCCTTATCTTGCTCTTCCGTTGTTCTAATTTTATGAGATTCGAAATGTTCGCTGTCACTCGATTGTCATGCATTTCTACATCCTCGCCAAAGTGGTCACAAATTACACCGGCGGCCTCGCCTCCCTCGCAGTCAGTTTTACCCCAACCATCAAATCGACATTTGGCCAACTCGGATTCCGTGCCGTCGCATAATACATTATCCATCCAGTACCGTCCTGATAAAAATTCAGAAATCTTTGCCAAGTGACTAAATTATAATTCTTAAGAATTATGATTACCAGAGGAAATATTTCAAAAGAGAAACTATTATTTAGAATACATCTCATAGTTTCCAGTTATAATTACATATCATTTTCAATTTAAAAAACTTTAAAAAACTTCTCGACAAAATTTCTTTTAAAATATTTTTATTCAAAAGTCTTAATTATCTATGCTCTATATGATATTTTTAATATTTATATTTTGTGAATCACTATAGGCTAGCATGAGCTACAAGAACAATGAAACTAAATGTATTGAAAATAGGAATAACGCGGAAAGGTAAATTTTCCCTCTTACTGTGAAATGTCAAACAGTTATAAGATTTAGCCGTAAACAGAATAACTTCAACTAAGGTTAAAACTCCGTAGCTTTAATAAACCTCTCAAAAATCATTATAATATACAATATTTTATCCTTACTTCTTGAATGTCCAAAATAGCTATTGCCAGTGGGCCATGCCTTGGAGGCTTTGTATCCCAGTTGTCCACAAACGACTCTGGCCTCCAACTCATCCCATTCATCGTCGCAGACGTTACCCCATCTTCCTTTATGGAGAATCTCTACGTTACCTGCACAGGAATAATCTTTGTAACTTTTCCGCAAAACCGATAGTGAATATATCACTGTTTAATTAAAGTAAACTAAAAGTACTAAAATTATTCTAAATACTTTCCTCGTTGTTTTCTTGGGATGATTTTGAATAATGGGTGTATCGTTAGTGGAAAGAATATTAAATAATAAATAAAAATATTTGCATTATTATTATATATTGACTTTTTAGTTAAAATTTGGTTTTTTCAATGTATTTGTTGTTTCCTAAAATGTCTTTATAAAAACATATTGTTATTCCAATTATTCATTGAAATTGCACGATTAAAATATATTCGGCAATATTAAATATTTGATTGATTATTATAAATACTAAAATGTCAAATATATGTATTATATTTTTAATAACAATATCAAAAAATTATTTTAAATAAATGATGTTTGTATATGATTAATCGTTAAATAAAGTTTATACGATTCTTTTTTTTTTTTTCAAAATGTTTGTGCTCCGACCTGAAATCAAACATAATATACAATTTAGGTTATATAAGTACAATTACTTTCTTTCTGTCATTTAATTAATATTTTGATTATTCACTGCTGTTCTTCTTATCCTACTTATTACATTAAAAGTGCTAAGTGCTGATAATCATACAATCCTAAGTAAAAATGGATATGATTTTGACTGCACTAAAAATGATTGAAATTATTAGAAAAAATCATAATCTTATGTTATAAATTTAATACAGTTAATTAAATTTTTAGTACTCGTGTACTTTCAAATAATAAATAAATTCTTTTTAGAAGAAAATTGATTTCTAAACCATGTTTATATTATGTTGTAAATAAATGTAATTAATATTTTGAATGCTTGGTCTTAAGTGATAAATAGTTCTAACGTAATTTGAAAGTTTAATCTAATTTAAAAACACAATATTTTAGTTAACGAATACTAATTTACAATACACAGAAAAAATACTTTAAATCGGTTAAAGAATACTGATCGAGAACTCGATATTTTCGGTAGTGGTATTGCATCAAACTACTGTGCTATTTGAATCCATATATATGTATGCATTTAGCGTCACGATATACTAAGTCATAGATATCGGGCTTGCAGTGACCCCTTTTTAATCGACATTACAGAATAACGAGTCCGCAATGCATCCATGTGTGTATATATGTATAGTATATATTATACTGCTGACTATGCATTCGTTCACATTACAATATACAGTTTTATCATTTTCTATACATATATATATATATATATATACAATTTTGGAATATTTCCTTTCATTTTTACAAATGGACATGAAATATCTCATTACGTTTATTATGCATTAAATTATGCACACATGCACGCGCCTACACACGTATATATACATATTTATACATCGATATTTATATGAATTTTATTATTATAACAATTACTACCTTTTATATATTTTTTTAGCAAATTTTATTTAAGTCGAATGGAGTATTTAGATAAATAATTTTGAATAATCAATTTATTAAAAGTACAAACATTATTTTATTATAATTTTTTTAATGAATTTCATTTTTCAATACGAATTCTCATTCTTAGCAGAAATTGCTTTATTTATATGTTTCAAGTATCATTTTACATATAGATTATACGAAATTTACAAAAAATTTTTACATAACTAAAATTTTTCTGGATTGATTATTATTTTCAATAATTCTTCAGCAAAAATATATTTTAAAAAGAAAGATACAATACATTTTTAATTTGGATCAAATAAATAACCAGTCCTATTTTCTGATTTTATTTCGCTCATAAAAATAAAATGTATGATTTAGCATTATTCTAAAAACTAATTTTCTTATGATTTTTCAATATTAGAAATATAATAGATTCATAATAAACATTTTTATATTTACAAAAAGGATTTCTAAATCATCAATCTACAAGTAATTTTTGCCTTCCCTCACGTCTACCTTTTACGACTAAAATCTAATCGCAAGAAATTTGTTTAATGGACAATATTTTATTCACAATGTTACCTATTTATAGAAATTAGGCATTAAAAAGACGTATAATGATAACATGTGGTAAGGACAGATTCACTAGCATTAACCAGGACATATCGATTAGTATGGCTTACATGAGAAAGGTAGTAAATGAGTACCTCTTATAGTTTAAAAACTTCTTATTTTGCAATTTTCATGATGTAAAGAGAAACTTGAGACTATCGACCATAGCGATGCTCTTCTCTGGGTCCAACGTCAAACAAGTTTTCTTTTTGCTCTTTTCAGCAAACGCTATTTACGTCATTACTTATTTTATGAATTAACTATTAAAATTTATTAAATATATAATTATTTGTCGATTGAAATTCATAAATATACTTAAATTTAAGAATCAGAATATAATTATGAAATTATTGTTTATGAAAAGAGTCATTAAATATACCAAATTTTGAAGAAAACTTTATAAAATGGAAGTATTCAATCTCAAACGATTATTATGTATGAATATAAAATTGTTCATAAATGTATATTAAAATTATATTAATTTAAATGGAATAATTATGTACGTTTTACATAAAATTTAATGACAGAACATTTTAAAACATTTTAAAAATTAATCTATTATATATTAATTGTGTAGACAATTACTAAAACAATAACTGACAAATTTCACTAATACTTTATTAAAATTTAATTTAAAATGATAAAATGAAAAATTTCTAAACAAATATTTTCAAATTATTTCTTTGGGTATTATAATGATTTGTTCTAAATTTTTGTTTTTACATACACCATAAAAATTGCATAAAATTCGTACTTAATAGAAGAAATCTAATTTTTATCACATTAAAAGTTAACTATTGATCAATGAAGTTTATTCAAAAGATTACATTAGTTATTATTCATTCAATGTATAGTATCAGTATTGTAGTATGTAATATTCAGTATAATTAACTTTTACAAAAAATACTACTTAAAATCACGAAATTTGCAATACTAAGGCTATATTACTTAATTACGTGAGGAAAATCATAATATTTAATATAGACTTCTTTATAATACGTTATATTAATATATTAATACTAGAACGAATACGATCATTTCAGATTGCTTCCTTAATAATATTAAATTTAAATCTTTGTACAAGTTAATCCTTGCACTGTAACTGCATTAAAGTGAGCTCAAATTATTAATTATTCAATGATAACATTTTTGAATATTTGATCCTTCTAAATTTCTTTAATTCATTCAAAAAAAATTTTTTTACAAAACTTAGTAAAATAAATTAGATAAGTTTTACAATTATATTTAATCATATTAGTGAACAAATTTGTTATAGCTTCTATTGATGTAGTAATATTTGTCTTTGCAACTATGTATACATTGAAATAATTTAGTGAAATACGTATAAGAATAAGTATTTACTAATTTATTTATTGTTTATTTACTTTTTTACCTTTATCTCTTTAATATATATTTTTATAAAAGACCGTTTTTAGAAAGAATTTCTAAAATATCTATGGACTAAAAAAATTAATGCGAAGAAAAGAATTAAACATTTTTACCTTCGAAAGCTCCTCTCTCACCACCAACGAGCTTTATGGCTCCCTCCTGTTTTTTCAGACGACGATAATCTTTCTTGTATCGTATGGCCTGCATGAATGCCTGTTTATCAGAATGATTGGCTAGCGCAGTGACTGTTGTTTGACCACCTGTCGGCGTGAAGAATTTACCAAGTGCAAGTGTCCATACAAAATAATGCAGCAGCAAATAGCTCTTTATATCTAACATCCTGTTAATTATAGAGAAAACCCATAGTTACTCAAGATTTTCTAGATAACATATTTAAAGGGACATTTAATTGTTTCATTCTGAATATTTCTTCATTGTCCCACACTATTGGAAACAATTTCCTTCGATTAAGAAATTACCATGAACGACATTTTTAATTACTATGTTAGCAATAAAACTTAATAAACGATACTCTATCTGATCTTCAATACATTCAATAAATTACATTTAAATTGTAAATATAGAAAATTTCAATTTATTTTGAATGTACATAGATGTTAAATTATTTAAATTTGTGATGATAGAAAAACGAATGCACAGGTTCTATGAAAGCATAAGCACTATATACCCTTCTCTACCCTTTAAAATTATTTATAAATAAGCATTCGTATGATGTATGCGATAAACTATCGATAAAACCAGTCGGCTTATCACTTACCTTAGCCGAATTCTCAAAAATTTCCCGGGTCTTTTTACAAAAATAACTTTTCACAGATGCGTACTCGTTGCGCGCCCCAAAAGTCAGTAACGCCACTCATCGCTGATTTGCTGATCTTTGAAAGAAGCTTATTGATAAAGGAGCAATGTTTCGCTGTCGTGTCTCTATTCACCGCAGAGACTGTCTTAAGAATCCACACGGCCACTTGTTTCCCACTGAATACACGCGGTGTCGATTCGTCATCTCAAGATGAGCGTATGCGATCGCTCCTATAACGCAAATACAGCCACGGACAGAAGGAGGAGGTGAGGGAAGAAGAGGAGAGGCAGCGACTCGAGGACTTTTGCGGTAAAAAGAGACGCTTACGCGCGCCTGTGCACGATTGTATTTGCACGAGTATCCGTTGAATAAAGACGAGGGCCACTCGCCTATGTAAATAACGTGCGCAATGATGCTCTTGTTTCCGTCTGCATTCGCGCGTGCTCCGCTTTTTTTTGGCTTACGAGGACGTCGTAAAAGTTATAGAGGCTACTCTAGGCGTCTGTTGAGAAGGAATGAACAGCTCTTACAAGCTTTTCCTTCGACTCTTCGCCGTTCTTTGACGAGTAATTTATTCAACGAGGCACGGATTTGCGCGAAAGCTTTACTACTGCGAGGAAAAAGATACTACGATTAATGATTGATCAATGAAATCGTATTATTTAACAATTTTTCCTTTGCTATCAACAACTTTGCGTGAGTTAATTTGGAAAATAATTTCGAATGCTTAAGCATTTTGAACATTTTCTAATACTCGACAATTAAAGCATCGATGATAATTCTATTTGAGTCGTTGATGACTCAACGGTTATAAATCTCTTATAATGACTTTATATCATCCCTGCGAATATATATGGATAACCTAAGGCAGGTGAAGAAGCCTATTAGCTTTTTTTGTTAATTATATCTTTGTTGTAAATTTATACTCTCTGACGTATACAATTACATGCAATATTTTTCCTCACAATTTACTTACAATAGAAAATATACGATTTTTTTTCCCACTCAAACTAAACAACTTGTAATATATGATTTTTTTTAATTTACACCAATCATTACTTTGGCTCGTAAGAAAAATGTAAATTTTTGTCTATAAATATAATCAATTGCTTCGTTTTAAATATCGTGCATTATTTACTTCTAATATTTCTCTTAACTGTCATATTAAATCGTAGTAGTACATATAACAATACATTAAATAGTAAAATAAACATATAAAAGAAATTTTTCTATTTTTAACCTTTAAATCTGTTATAGTTAATATTCTTAGAAATTAGAAATATATTATTGCCTTTATTTTTTTTTTGATAGAATAATATAAATATAAAAATAATTCGAAATATTCATATAAATCATTATTAAAATATAAGCTTCTTTTCTAATAACAAAAACTTATTTAAGCTAATTTGATTGAAATTTTAATTTAACTATAAAATATATAATTAATTACTCAAAATTTCCAGTAAAAATCTGATAAATAGTATAATGTGAAGTATTTGATTCGAAATGAATAATTTCATTCTTGTAAATTAATAGTACTACATGTTAAGTGTCACTACAAAGCCTGAAGAAATAAGCAGTGGTAAAAATAGAGAAAAATAATAAATTGAGTACTTGAAAACTCTAGCCACTCCGATTTCAACAGCTAACATTTTCCCTTTTAAAATATAACAATTATTTTTTAAGTTGTTTTAGCATTACATTATCATTTTGAAAGAATCACTTTGGAAAGGACGATATAAATATATTTAAGTGTTGGTAAGCCCTTATACATTATTTGAAAGTACTTGAGCATAATCCGTCGGTCACTGAACAAATGATACAAGGGATGCTTATTTTTGAACAAATATCGTAGCTTCTATATACTTAAATATATCTACAATATCTAAAAAACAAACGTACGAATTTTTTTTTCTTTCTATATTTATTATGTCGATAAGTGTAAAAACTTAAATTAAACTTGAAATAGGGCAGATATTATTATTAAGGTCGTTTTTTCTCTCTTATATTTTATTATTTTAATTAATTACAAAATATTAATCTATACACATTTTTATATGTTTAATAAAAATGTATTTACTATATTTACTGTAAAATTTATCTTATTTCATAATGTAATATATATTATTTACCGAGCTTTGTTTTTAACATTATTTAGTCCATTTTCATATGTAATTATGATGAAGTTATTAGAGATATATTAACGTGATCTTGTGGCAAAATATTAGTAAATTTCTCAAAAAATAGGTATGAAATGATTTAGTAAATTTTTTTATAGGTAAACGCTCTGATTAAATATAATATTATAGGAATGATTCATATATAATAATATATATGTAGAAATCGCATCTTTGTTCATTCTACTGCAGAATAAGTAAACATTCAGGAAAGTACTCAAATGATGTATCTTGCGCGTCACAATTTAACATTGTAATTGACTTTTCTAAGCGGCTAATTGTAGTAAGAACGCGGTTACGAAAATGCTGTTAAAAATTTTTTTAATTACTACTAATTACCCTACACTTACTTAGAAATAATTAGTTTTTGTTTTTATGTGATTACATTTTTACTTCCGTTGCTTACTATCTTAAAAATAATTCAATTTTTTTAATCACTTTGTTATTTATAGTAATTTCATTTTATTTGAATATTCAAAATTTTTAAAAAATTTATAATCATTTTTAATTTATTGTACACAAAATATCAAAGATTTATAGACTGTACAATAATAGCAAACATTTAATCAAAGTGTTCTTGAACGAATGAAATTCGATAGTAGATTAAACCTCTATCAAATGAGAAAGAAATTATTCCTAATTGAGTATTTATTAAACAATTTCATCTTTTGACATTGAACTTCGAGAATGATTTATTCCATACGTTATGATTATACAATATATCCTTGCTTGATACACAAATTACATTTCTGACATAAAATAAATATATAAACGAAATACATTCTTAATAATGAATATAACTACTTTTAATCCAATACTCATATTGACGTTTTTTTTATGAAAAAAAAAGTATTTATTAGTAAAGGTCATACGATTCATTCTACCACTAGTTAAAAAAATTAAATATAATTAATCTTCATGAATTTTATTCTGTTTATGGTATTTTAAACATTTTGTTATGTATTTTATATTGAATGAAATACTAATTAAAAATATTACATTAAGATTTCATAAAAATAGTTGGTAAAACGAAAATTGTCTAAAAGACAAGTAAAACGAACGTTTTATTTATACTAAAGAACGTTTTGTATATAATAAAAATATTTATAAATAAAACAAATTTTATTATTTATATTATATAGTATTTATTAATTATTTATGTTTCCGTTAAAATTTAAAGCTTTTAAAATATGCATATATATATATATATATATATATATATATATATATACTTTCATATATTTTGAATACAATATTTCAGTAGAAATATTTAAATATTTAATAAAAACATAGTCAGTTAAAATACAAAAATAACTCTAATAATTAATGAAAATCTAAGTTTTAATTACATAAAAAATTTAAAGAAAAGTTTTAAAACAATAAATTGAAAATCGCATACATATAAATAATGACTCATAAAATAATAATATTTATATTATAATAATTATAAATTCACAAATTACTTTAACTTTGAATAAGGATATATATATATATATATATATATATATATATATATTAAAATGGATTAAAAATATAAATGAATACATCACAGATACAATAATATGCATTACAATTATCAAAATTTATAATCATACACTTCAATATTATATTGAAAATATTTTATTTTAACTTAGTTTCTAATCCATAAAATTTCATAAAACTATTAAAATATTGCCTATAACATAATAAAGTTGATTATTTTTCTGTTAATTAATATTAAACTTTTGGTATTTAAAAAAAAAAAATATATATATATATATTAATAGCATAACAATAAATCACATTAATCCAAATTTTGTAATAAGATATAAAGAGAGTATTAAAAAATGTTTCAATTAAAAAAAAAATTCAATAGAATTTATATATAGTACACAGTTGTTAGTTTTAATTAATATTAAAGATTTATTATTAAAAGAATACTTAATAATCATATGTTATTAAGAAATAAACTTATATCATTTTCAAAGAGTAAAATTTTTCTTTTAAAAACATTATCTATAGTTAAATTAATTCTGGAAAAGAAGATATAATAATAAAAATAAAAAATTTTCTTTCTTAATTTGTCACATAAACTCTGTGAAGCTAACTATTACGTAAAGTGTTTTTAATCATATATGTAAATGTAAGTGTAATATATTTTTATGGATTAAATAGTTATATATAAATTATATGATAACCATATTACATAATATTTTATATTAATTGTATAATATTTTATCTAGAAATACTTAGAAATAACAAAAAAAATTGTATTATCTTATTCATCTTAATTTTTAAATAAAACAGCTCAATATAGTTAGGTTATTATAAAATGGTTTAGTTATTTGTAAAATCAGAATTCTTAGATAAAATCAATACTAAGAGAAACATATTTTCCAAATTAAATATTTGAAGTTTTTAAAATATAACTACGAATAAAATAAATACACAATATTATAAATAATTAGTTATACCGATATAAATTATGAATTGTAATTAACTACTTGATTATAATGCTTAATAAATATACTGGTTTTTAAATTTATAACCAATATTTAATAATTATAAATTATTTCATAAATATTTAACAATATCACTTGGAATTTTCAAAAGTACAACTGATGGGGTCTTTATTTTCTAATTAAATTTTTTACTATTTTGTATATAGTAAATAAAAAAAAAATACATTACAAAAATATATAAAGTTATAAAAACATAAAAAAACAAAAAATATATAAAATTGTTCTAATATTTATAATTGTTAATGCTTACATAATAATTTTCAGTAAAAACTAGTAATGGGGTTAAATAATGTATTGATATCAAGTTTATGTGCACAGCTTTAATCAATTATACGCAAATAAATAAAAGCAAATTAGTTATTTTTATTGAAATTCAGTATATAAATATATAAAATTGAAGAAGCTATAATAGTTTTAGTAAATAATGTTTGAAAGTTAGAATATAACAGATTAAGAATGTAAAATAATAAAAAAATATTAAAATTTTTCTTTATTAAATTAAATTTAATTAAT